CCATATAGGGCAGCGAATAAGATTTATTGTCACCGCTGCGTGGCGTTTGCGCGCTTCGCGCGGATATCCGGGCTGCAGATCGTATATATATATGCAGAACTATATTTAACACATGTGTCTATATCTCCTGTCTATATGTATGTAGAATTCTAGAATTATCACCCAACTCGTTTACGAGATATAAGAGTCAATACACTTTCCTGCCGCCCAACGCGCATTTGCATTTGCATGCGCATTTGCGGTACGGAAAAAATAGACGCTAGCCGCGTGTATATGGGTGTGATAAAACCCAGGCGGCGCGTCGGTGGCCGTTTTTGCGTGGTTGGTCGTGTGCGTGTGTCTGTGTGCGCGTGCGTTGCTTGCGGTGGATTGTGGTGTACGCCTGGCGGTCGGCCAGCTTTGGAGTCAGTATTCAGCGTGGTGAGAATGCGTTGCGGAAATAAAACGCGGGCAGTGTCTAAGGCATTATCAAAAGCAACACCAGGTCATGCGTCTTTTGTGCGCTAGCGAGGCTAGCTGCGCAGCACGTGTGTGCATGCGCTGTCATGTTGTTGTGTTTGTGTGTGTGTGGTGGTGTGTGTGGGTGTGTGGTGTGTGTGTAGTGTGCGCGCGCCGCGCGCGCGTCCCCGCGCGTGCGGTGCGTGTGCTGTGTGTGTGTGATGTGTAAAGTCCGCCGCCATACGTTACGCGTCAAAAAAGCCCCACAGCGTCTATGTCGTGGATCTTGAAGTTGCTGGGTCACGGCTCCTTTATTGACGAGCTCCCCGGGTCCGGGCGCGGGTTCCGGTTTCTTCAATGCAGGTTTTCCGGGTCCGGGTCNTCTCTCTCTCTCTCTCTCTCTCTCTCTCTCTCTCTCTCTCTCTCTCTCTCTCTCTCTCTCTCTCTCTCTCTCTCTCTCTCTCTCTCTCTCTCGCTCTCTCTCTCTCTCTCTCTCTCTCTCTCTCTCTCTCTCTACCCTTTTCTCACACTCTTTCACCCACTCCTTCTAATCTTTTTCGCACGACCATGAAAGGGACAAGAGAGCGCAGCGCGCGCGAGCATTCCCTTCACAACACCACCGCACCCACCGATCGCACCACAACGCTGAAAAGCACGCGTAGACCGACCCCCCCGTCCCCGGCTACAAACTGCTGTCGTAGATCCGCGGCGACGTGTAGTGTCAGTCTACGTGACAACATCGCCGACGACAGCTCTCTGCAGCAGCCGACGGAGCATTCTACGCGCGATCATCCCCGACCGATGAATTGACGAGATTCGTTGACTTTGGCGGCTCTGTACGGCCACTCGACGGCGTATAATAACAATCCACAAACATGCCAAGCGCCTCGCTGCAACGCCGCCGCCCCGACAAGCGACACGCTCCTGCGGCTCAGGTCGAGTTAACTCTACTGCGCATAACTGTCGTGGTGGTGGGGGGGGGGGGAAGCACGG